TACCGACAAAAATATTCGTAGAATTTCCACCCAGTTCCACACATCTCTTAAATAAGTCCACTTAGCTAGGTATAGCTTGTACATCTCTACGATGAAAAAGACGAATGCCATTATGATAAATAAGAACTGACAAATCAGATAAAACTCGTAAAAGCCTGTTTCAGTACTTGTCAGCAGAAGAGTGTCTATCTTTGGAAAAGGATGGCCATACCCTGTGGGCAATATTTCAAAATGATACGCTGAAATGATTAGGTAGCCCGTGTTAGGGTTATAGATAGTGAACTCAAGTAGGACGGCGCGGGTCTGCCGGTCGATCCAACCGTATTCTATCAATTCGGAGATGACTGCCTGAGCTGTACTGCTATTGTAGCCTAGATCTGCAACATAACCACCTCCGTCATAAACATCGAAGTAACCCCAGCTCGGTGAGAGTTCCTCGTTTGGCACATATTGCCATGGTACTGGGCATAGCTCGGAAAAATTTGCCCATTCTACTGAACCACTGAAGGGTTCCCAGCCTGGAAGGTTTGCAGGAGTTTTATCCTCTTCATCGAAATTATAGAGGTCGTAGCAGCCCCTGTTTATGATGTCTCGTACTATCCTTGGAACAATGCAAGAATCTGATTAAAAAAAAAAAGAATAAATTACTGTCGAATACAGTCCTCACAACTTTGATTGCCTTGTGTACTTCTCTTTCGTGTTGCCGGATAATCAGAGGAATCTGTCCTCTCTTTATTCTTTTATTTCTTTTATTATCCAATTTTTCCCCTTATTCTCTCTCTTTTCTTCTCCATGATTTAGGTTCTAATATTTGCTATATTTGCAATAAAAACAGAAAAAAAGTTGCGAACTTTGTTTTAAATAATCACCACAATTTTCTAGCTCCTAGGTTCACCGTCGACGATGATTTTTACCAGTTCTACGTTTGTAAGATTGAAAGTTCTCAAATAATGTCATACTTACCTTTCTTTATTCTTAGTTGTCTCAAGCGAGGCATTCCTAAGAGAATAGACATCTTGTTACCAATGTACTCTTGCTTTTTGATTTTGTCGTTGTTGTACCAGTTGCTGCCGTAGACACCATCCACAAACTGAATGTCGAGCCATTTCCAGAAATACGGAGGATCGTAAGCCTAGGCAGGAAAAAAACGTTCTAAAATGTGCAGTGACCACGAACCAAAAGACACACATACCAGGAAGGAAGAGAAATATTCTGCGTAATTATAACGTGATAAATTAAAAGTTGAATGTGTGTGGTTCCAGGTGTTTAAGTGCAGCTAAGTAATAGCCACCTCCGAAATAAGCTTCGCCTTCCGTATAGGGAATTTTCAGTAGTTAAATCTCGCTTTGAATTTGAATATAACAGTATCATATCGCGTTTAGCTAAATTTAAATGCGCTTGGTGGAACTTTCGGAGTAATGAAAAAAATTCAAAAACGTCCCATATCTTCATTTATTCTAAGCAAACCCAGGCCCCGGCCGTGGAATGCTATTGATCGTATCACTGCCTCATTCCTGTCTCCCTATCACCATGACGTTCGAATAGGGACGTTTACACTGACCGGGTCAGTCGGTTACCCTAAGATTCAGAGCTACTTACCAAAGAAAAGTTGCCAAGTGTATCTTTTAGATCCATAGTCATGAGATATCCGTGATAACTTCTGCTACCGTAACACACAATTATAAGCAAAAAGAGAAACAGAAGATATCCAAGAAGCTCTCTCAAAAAGGAAAACATCTTTGCCTCCTTTGTGCTGTTCTCTCTTGCAAGTATAAGGTCATCCTCTTTTGGCATCTCTACTTTAACACTCTGATTGCCGCCGGGAGATTTTATTTGTGATTGCAGTTTCTCTTCACTATTGTAGCTGACAGTTTCAGTTTCATTGTTATCGCGAAACAAAGAAGCTGTAAACACCATGATAAGCAATATCTTCAAAGGCTGTAGGACAAATAGGTCTTGGGTGAAAGATACAAACATTGAGGAAAGCCACTGGTTCGAAATATCCTTTCCCCACTGCAAGCTGAAGAAGAACGTAAAAACGGCACACACAGAAACAGTAACAAGGACCAAAAACCAAGCAACGTAGATAAAGAAGTGAGGGAGCATAAATTTCTTCTTGGCATCAGTCTGACTTTGGGAGTTTTTATCCAAGTAAGACCTCTTTTCGTTTAGAGTGACATCAATGTCGTGAATATCCCCTGAACTGGTGGTTGACAACTTGTCACAAAAGGAAGCAGGACTGTTTTTCGGTTTTTCCACGTCGACTTTATTTGGAGTTTTCTCGTCACTCCTCTTGAAAAATGTCATAATCATTAAGTTTACTGGAGTTATTATTAGGGCGCTTTCAATTCCCACCATTATTTGTCTCCAGCTGAATTTTAACGGACCAATTTGTAGAGTTGGATCTGGCTCTTTGTCCGTCCGGTAGAACAGGGCATTTGCTAACATCGCAGACAACAGTATGCAAAGGCAACAAGAAGCTCTTTGGACACGTGAGAATTTACTCCTCGGTGGCTTAGTAACAACCGAAAGCCAAATGTGTCCATCGGAAAAACCTCTGGAGCCTTGCGATCGCAAAGAATAACTAAACGTCTGCATCTCCTGCGAACCAACAGGAGTTAAAATTCTGTTTATTTTACCGTCCCCTTTCTCCAGCGCAAACCAATCGTTGCAAAAAAATGTCCATTTTCTACCCGTCTGAAGATCCAGGAGAATCGCATGGCTTAGAAACCATGAAGGATCTTTTCCCGAATTATCATGCCATATGCGAATGTATTCAATTTCACCCAGTGACATTGGCAGGTGAATCCTAAATGTATCCTCGTTTCCACGCGCCAACAACGTCCTTGAGTCTATTGTGCTCTTGTGCAATATCAGAGGTTCACTCTGCGCCTCGTTCCCATGAATGATGATAACGATACGAGCATCAGTCCCAGAATTCTTCCACACTCCCGTGGCCAATGTCAGTTGGTACTCAAAGTCATTTGCCTCATGACAAGAAAGTAGATGGAAAACTGGACCACTCTGAGAATAAAACAAATGCGGCGACTCGTTAAGATCAGTTTGAATTAGCAATATATTTAACTCATATCATCACCGTAAATATTAGCAGAAAGTGAAATAGCTTTGCAAGATTTGCATTTGAAGGTTGTAAAATCTTCCTTCGATAGGGAAGTAAAAATGAAAACAAGAAACAAGAAACAAAGAAGCAATAAGGAATACAGTTTGTTGAGGATAAAGGGAAGAAACCAAATTGCAAATGAGTTAGGTTTTCAATGATGCGGAAATTCCGTAGGGACTGTCAGATCTGTCACAAAATAGTGAAGCTGCAATGTTGCATCGCTTAGTTGTACCAATGTTTCTACGATTCGACCTTTTGCTGATGTGTTTTTCTTTCTTTTTTTTTTTTTGGACCTAACTTCCCATACAGCTTAGCATCTGTCTGTGATCGACCTCCGTTAAAAGCGTGCTGAGAAGTATATATAGAAAAGCATTACTATTATCATCATTTCTGATGTGATGGCATCGAACCGTCGAGACCATGTTCTTCTCCAACTTTGGGTAATCATGGTAACAAATTGACTGATTTGTGCTCATAAAATGAAAACTCTTTCTTTGTTCCTATCTACATTAATGTATCAATCATTCTTACTTCCGCTTGATTGGTTTTTGTTACGCTTCTGATTTTATGGCTTTTGTTAATTTGGCAGCTGATTATATTTCATTCTTTTTAATTCTGTCCCTATTTCATAGAAAATTTAAGTTCTGTCTTTTACATACTTTGGCCTTATCTTGTCTATCATATTTCCTTGCAAATACTACCACTAAAAAGTACAATAGCAGTACTGCAATTATTGTGACAAGGACGGCAACATTTCCAGTCTCATGGAGGCGCGTGAGTTCATAGAAGACTACATCAAAATCTAGCTTGTTCGGCATCACTAGGACACCTCCACCAAATGACGTCAGATGATTACACAAACAATGTAAAGATGAAACCTCTGAACCTGGGCCTACCTGCAAAAGATCAAAGGGTAAAAGGGTGAAATCATTTTCATAACGAAAAGATAGGAATAACTCGAATTCCTTAAAACCAAAATCCCGTCGTAATATAATATTTGTGAGGCAAGGAACAGTTGAAAAGGAAATAATTTTTGCACCAGTCTTCAGAGATTGCATTTTTGAACAGGATTATCGTCATTATAATAAATAGGCTACGACTTCATGTGTAACACGACGCAAGACAATTTACAACATAATTGATTTTTAGGTTTTATCAACCGATGTTATGGAAAACAGGATGATTTGCAATAACCTTCATTTAAGAAATTACTTTTGCTATGGAATTTCAAGATGGCATATCTTTTATATCCAAACATCTTCTTTTCCCATTATTTTAAACCACACCCTATGAAATATGTCATAAGTATCTTTCAACATCTCTCCTTCTCCCATTCAAATTTTGAGACAACTCATGTTTGGTCAGTTAAGAAGTGCAAAAAAAAGAGGATGATGCTTGTCTATGTAATTGGGTTTAAACAATAGTAGACAAACTTACTTTGCATCCCCTTGATAACCAGCGTTCTTCTATACTGTCCCAAAACAGACAGTTTTCTTCCACCAGATTCAACGAGTAGTTTACGTCTGTCTTTGGGTCATAAACTGGCTTTACCGTGATGTTCTCAGGTCTTGGTGCTTCTTTAACCTCCACGCATGATCTCTTTTGGCGGCCCCCTCCGGAACATGATCGCTTCTTTCGTCGACTCTGAAGTTCTCCTTCATCATTTTCGTAAAGTATGCCAATATAGTATTTTCCTGGTTTGTTCACCTTGTCAGGTAACAAAAGGACGTCGTACGCATCATTTCTGCAATCGCTGTAAGAATCTTGGGAGGACTTCAAGCACGAAGGATGCGGAATTTGCCTCGATACATCATGCTCTGTGACAGTTGGTCGCCAGCCATATCGCACGAATACCTTGAAGATGACTTTGCCTTCACTTGGTTTGATCTGAAAGAATAGTGATTTGACGAATAACCATTTTAGTCTCAAGAAATTCCCAATTGAGCATCAAAGGTGTTCCTGGGTTGCGCCGCATTTAATCACTATATTATGGACTGGTGTAGAAGAAAAATACCGCTCCTTTAACCACTCAGTTGCAAAACGAGAGCTAGTCTCCTAGTCTTGGTCACTCGCTCTGTCCTAACCCTCTGGCTGCTTGCAATTCTCTATTCTTAGGATTTTCGCTATGATCACTTTGGTTCGGGCTCACAAACTTCTCGAATGCACTATAGAGCGGTAAATCCCAATGCGCATCCCTTATCCTTACAGCATCTTAAAAAGAAAACATTTCAGCCTCCTTAAGCATCTCTTCTAATCAACCAACACATATCCAGTTTTCGCCTCCACTTTCTGCTCTCTGAAAGATATTGCTCATAAGCTGAACGCACCCTCCCTCTAAAGAAAGATGTCCTCGTATTCTCTCCTCCAGAATCAGTTGTTCATTTTAAAGTCATAATACTTACTCGAAATCTCACAGCGTTACCGTCCGCATGCTGCAAACTCACTACATGGTATTGCATCTTTCCTTCACTGCTGGGTTTAGTAAAAAAAAAGCCACTTCCTTCGGGCAGAAAATTGCCCTCACGTGGAATCTTCATCTCGATATATTCGTTACTATCTTTCACTGATAAAGTCTGACCTTCGTGGTTTTTGATGGTCAAGCTGAGGACGTTAGAATTAACACGGGCTGCACTGTCGTCCCACGTGAAAGGATTGAATGTACTCAGAGTCACCTGATAGAAAAATAAGAAAAACCAACTTTGTGTTTTATAGCAGCATTTTGCCTCGATGCGGGCTCAAAGGTGGTACATAGTACCCTTGAGACATATATTGTAAAAGCAACCGCCAAAAAGTAGCCAGTCAGATAAGTTTCGCAAAGAAATCCTTAAAGAACTGGGTAAGAGAAATGCATGTTTTGGAAAGACTGAAAAAAATTCTTGTGTGATAGTCTCTTTGATAAGAAGGGAATGGTATCCGAAATATATCTGATAAACCAATTTTCTCCTACGAAACTAAGAAGTAAACTATACATAACTACAAATTTAAAATCATTCAAAACTCTCAGAGAAACTCAATTTGCTTACCACACTGTCGATGTACTCAGCATCTCTCGCTCTCTCGTCGGTTATGGCGTTAAAAGAAAATTTGAACTCTCCTGAATAAGGATCGTCAGTAAAATTTGTCGCTGTTTCCAGTGATTTGGGACTAAGTCTGTTGAGCACCATGCTCAAGGACTGTGTTTGCACGCGGTTGGGTTCCTGGTCCACTAACATTTTTGATAGGAGAGCAACGCTTACATCATCGATAAGCTTCGCTGTGTCTTTCGAGACATTTTCACTCTGTTAAAAACGAAAAAAAAAACATGGAAAGGTGGTATATATTTGTGTTTGGTTTAAGTGTCGGACCTCGTGTTGAAGAGACACATGCACCGTGAGAATGAGAAAAATGGAAAGTGAAGGAGGAGGTGAGAATGAAGGGTTAAATGAAAGAGGAAATAAACTGATGGATGGACAAATGGATGGAAACTGTCTAAATGAATGAACAAACTGACGAAAACACCAAGAAGAACGCACAAAGAAACAGGGAAAGAGCCAACAAATCAATCAGCGATTGGACACATTCAGCAAAGAATGCTCAGAAAAAAATGAAACGAGGTATTCACCTTGGATCGTATTTCCGATGTCTCCGCTGTCCTTTCGATCACACTTGCCTTCTGAGCAGCAGAGTTAAGAATGTTACCCAGACTCAGTACCAGGTTCTCCCCGCCTTGTTCAACTAAGACAGACTCTGAACCGTAATCTTCTTTGGTCTTGCTTCGTAACAATGACGTCATGGATCTTAAGGTTTGCAGAGCAAGATCCTAAAAGATAGATGAAAGATTGTTTTCAGAAGTCTCACAGTCGATGAACGTCAAACGTTAGAATAATATTCAGCTACCCCTTTTCTTTGAGACAATCATATAATTGAGACAATAAGACCTTTAAGAGCTGTAAATACCTGTGTATCAAATGTCACCTCACTCGGTTCCAGTGTGGCTCGTGCGATCACAGACGTCACTTGAGTCAAGGATTGTAGATTGTTTACTTGAATATTTGACACACTTCGCACAATGGAGTCTTTGATCTGAAATACCGATAGAACCTTTAGCCTAACGTTGAATAACACCTTTACTAAGGATCATTTAACCCCCTTCCCCGTGCCACTTCAGTACTTCTTAAAGAGAAAAACTGGTAACAAAATACGGTGCTGTTCGTCAAACGAAGTCAAAACATTTTTCAAATCAACCGTCTTTCTCCTTCTTTGGTAAAAAAAAAAGGAAAAAAAGGAAGAGGAGAGAAATGTCTTTAAACCCGCAGTTGTAAAATTTGATTCAGTTAAATAGTATTCCTATATTTTTTTTAGTAATTCTAAATTTTTGAAAATTCAACCCATTCTGAGCGAGAAGTTGACTTTAGATGACTTCCGGTCAAGCTTGGAAACGTCAGGCAGTACTACCCATGACCCTGACCCAAACGTTGCGAATACACGGTCACAGATAGCTTGAGAGGATAATAGGCACAGATACCTCTATCTTGTCCTCGGTCGACGTAGAATTTGATTCCTCGACTGTTCCTAGCACAGCATTTGCTAGTTGTGTAGCACCTATAATATTCCCTGATTTGACCAAAGTGTTAAACTGACTATTGTTTCCAACTGCGAGTCCACTGAGACTGTCGTTAGCAGGCGGTGGCTCGACCTAAGAACACGATAAGGCAATATAGGGTTCCTGTGAACTAAAACTAATTTTCCCCTTGATCAACTATCACACTGGGGCTAAGTTGGGGACGAGGGGTCCTGGGATGCCCGTGACCCCGGGCCCCCTTCCTTCTTTGTAAAGCTCTTTTAAAGGCAAACAACCTACAATATTCAGGTTGCAAAAACTGTTAAGTATCCTCTTTTTGACACAGTGTGGCCCCCCCCCCCCCCCCCCCCCCCCCCCCCCCCCCCCCCC